CTTCTTCTCTCTCTCTCTCTCTCTCTCTCTCTCTCTCTCTCTCTCTCTCTTTTTTCTTCTTTTTTTCTAGTCCGTGATATTACTAACCAACGTAACCAATATTTTCAGCATCTGAAATGATAAAAATAATCAGGATACGATGCTCAATTATGCTAAACGAAGGATGATGAACCACCCGACGAAAACGAAAACCATCTTCATTTCGATTCTCTGCATCAAAAATCGCCCGACGTGCATCTTTTCTCAAATTCACGTATATAATATCCATTTTCTCTGTCATTTTTCATCTTCATTTTCCAAACCGACTCATTGTCGTTATTCCTTTATTTTAACCAATTACTAACATTTTAAGAAGAAAAAAAAAAAATCATTTTGACATTAATAATCCCGTTCAAAGTCTTGATATATCACTTACTCTAATGTTCTGGTGGTGAACGATGAATACCTCCTAATGTGTCAAAGTCGATATGCGATAATTCGTATCGATTTAATGTTTTTTTTGTCCTCCCCCCCCTCTTCCTTTTTTTTTTTTTTTTAATACCTTGCAACAGATGACAAAAAATCGACACGAAATCATCTTACGATTCATTTTTCTTCTTCTCCATTTTTGTTCCATCCGAATATTCGATATAATTTATTTTTATATCAATCACGAATTGTTACGTATTCTTCCAGACCAAAACTCTTTCTTCTTCTTTTTTTTTTTTTTTTTTTTTTCCCCTTCAAATAAATACGTTTTATTAAAAAACAGAAAACATTTGATGCATACATCAGATGCATTTTTTGTTTTTCAAAAGCCCAAATTTTACATCGTAAAACAAATGTAAAATTTAGTCAAAGTCGATGCATCTCATATCTACTAATAACGAATATAACATAATACGTCACCTAATACAACACAGATCGGACGGAAATTTTTAAATTTTAAAAACGTGTTGCTGCCGTATTTTTATTGCTTGCCGTTATAGGATTCCATTCAATCTATTTATATATATATATATATGTATATATAATGCTGTGTGATTTCATATAATAGAGGCAAAAATTTTTGTTCAGTTAAGATTATTTCTTATACGTCTATCTTTTTCTCGATCTAATTTTTTATCGTTAATTCTATGAACGTCTCGATGAACACGCGATATTTTATATCAATTCGATTCGATGAACAACAATTAATATAATAATGAACAACAAAATATTTAATTAGATATGGTAGAATTTGTTTGGACGAAGATTAAAAAGTATCGAAAAGTATTGTTGATGGTAATGTATTCGTAACAAGCGAGAAATGATTAAAAGAACACGAGAAAGAGTTGACAAGCTTGGCTGCACATGAGAAGAATCGAGGAAAGCGATATAGAGAGAATCGTGTAAAGAGAATTTCGTCGGAAAATTGTTAATTTTGAAAATTACCTATATTTTATATTGTATTTCTTAATTTAATCAAAACGAAAAAAAAGTATTTTCCATTTAATCTCTAATTAAACAACATCGGTTTCGTATTCAATGATCTTATCTTTGAACGGATAAAACTTGTTGCCTCTACTATAAGTCTTTCTTTGGAAAGGAAACGTGCCCCGAAAATCAAAGTCTTTTCTTCCTAACCAAATATTCTTACGAGGACAGAAATGAAAATTGCCAAAAAAAAAAAAAAAAAAAACAACGACGAATTGAAGACTTGTCCTTGTTAACCACGGATTAACCATGATAAAAAATGATAAAAGAAAAGGAAAGGGTGGAAGAGCGGAGGGAATAACGTGATTTGGGGTTGTTTGCAGGTGTTCAGGGCACGTACGCCACCGGAAGCGATGGAATTAGTCGCTGGTCTCCTAGAGTATACGCCATCCGGCCGAATCACACCGTTAGAAGCATGCGCTCATCCTTTCTTCGATGAACTTCGGGAGCAGGGTACGCGATTACCAAATGGCCGAGAACTCCCCCCTTTATTTAACTTTACAGAATACGAGCTGCGGATTCAGCCATCTTTAAACTCGATCCTAAAGCCGAAGTACATGCAGACTTCGGAGAACGCTGGAGGCCAGTCAGAACCTGTCGCGGGTAGCAGTGGTAACGTTAGTGATAATAACGTGAACGCCACGTTATCCACCTCAAAGAACACAGACCCCGGCCAATCGAACATGGCTTAAGCTACTTTTTATTCTAACGTAATTAATTAAACAACAAACGAGAAAGACACAAAGAGAAAGAAAGAGACGGAAAAACCGAAAGAATTCACGTGTTAGAAACTAGCCTTAACAGAAAACGAAAAAAAAGGAAAAAAAAAAAAAAAAAAGAAAAAAAAAGAAAAAAGTTCAAGTAGATCAAGATAGAAGAGCGAACGAATGAAAGGAATATCGATATTCTTTTGAGGAGGATGTCCATAAAGCAACATAAAGCATACACGATACATACATACACAGTCCCTTAATTGTAAATTTTTTCAACTTTATGCGAATGGCGATACCGTCTGGTATTTTGAGCTTTGTTTGCTTGAAACACGAATGACGAGATATCATTAATAGAATTATTAAAATATATAGTTCCCCTGTTTGTAACGGGTTCGCCTGGGGAATAGCCCAAATTTCGAGTGGCGTGTGCGAGTGCTTGATTGCCACGTTATTGCCAAAAATAACAACAACAACAACAACAACAACAACAAAATATTGAATTTAATGTGTATATATATATATATATATATTATAGGAACTGGCCCGTAACCACTAACTTTAAACGATAATTGCTATAAACAATGAAAGAAAGAGACAAAACGACAAAAAAAAAATGAACGCGAATTTTTTCTAGCTGAGGAGAAAACAAACGATATGTACCATCATACATTGTGTCTTGTAGTATTCACGTCGCTTGTGTCGTCGATCATTTTATCATTCAACGGAACACGATACGAACACACACATACAAATACACACATTAATAGCTATTATTAAAGAGATATATAAGAGTTATTTGCTTTTTTGACACTTGTATCGATGACTTTTAAAGATTTACAGAGGAATAAGAAAATCGCTAGGCTTTTCGCGAAGAACGAGTAAGAAAAGTTGCAAGTTCCCTCCAAAATGTACATGAGACGAATGAACCGGGGAAAAGGGAATGACGAAGATTCCAATAATTATAATTGTAATAATGTATAAAATACGCGGAAACACTTAGGAATATTTTTTATTGTGTTCAAAATTCGAGCGTTGATCGATATTTTCGTAAAGCAAGAGAAAAATTTCACGTGGAAAAGTCACGATGATTGACAAACATACACTCACGTACACAACACACACGTACACACGTCACACACAACGCGTTACAAGAATAATTTGCGTGCACAATCTCTATCTAAATCGACTATTAAAGACTATGTTTCCGACGTGAGATATGTTTGCGTACATCGATACGATCGAGAGTAGAAAGGAAGAAGAAAAAAGGAAATATGTATCTGATGATCTTGGACGAGACACAAAAGAAAATTTCTATTATTGGGACACGACAAACACACGTGAAACACTCTCGTATTACGTTCACACACTCGTTCGTGCCTATTGTCAGCCATGCCTGGACGATTCGAATCGCTATCCTCTATTTAATGAAATGAACGCTAATTAACTCGAGTACTTTATTCGTTACGTATTTAATTGTCACACGATTATCGTTGTATATTCTTTAACGGACTCTCGGCCATAAACCGAGCGATATTTTTCATCCTACGCGACGAAACTCTACAGAGTGCGATTTTCTTTTTTAAACCTGTCACAATTTATTTTTCTTGTGTCAACAGGATTTTAGAAATGTTTGTAACGTTTCTTTTTCATTTCTGTATCAGCATGCGAAGAGCAGACAGTAGTAAGTACAGACTTATAAAGCGAATTATATAGATTATTCTTTCGTACGCATCACCATGCATATTTTATATGTTCTCGAAAGAAACGACGTTGTCGGATAGAGTGACTTCCGACTTTCCTGATCGAGATGTCGAAGATCGAGATGGTCGCTTCGTTAATTCATTGTCTTGCAGAATTATGCGGACGAAAAAAAAAAAAAAAACTATAATAGAAGTGTACAAACAGTTTTGTATGTTTCGCACGATGAATTTCGATTTTTTTAAATGACACGAAATTGATGACCTCTATGCAATTGGATCTTTCGGAGCATGAGTTGCGCGTGAGTTAGCCGCCATTTTACACGTTTCTACATATCATATCGCGTCTCAAGAAACTGCAAAAAAAAGAAAAAAAAAAAAAGAGAGAGAAAAGAAAAGAAAAAAAAAGAGGAGGCTATCGATAAAAAGTCAATACCGAATGATTTATTTCAGTTCCCTTCTTTTTTAGAGAAAGGACAGAAAGGACAGACTCGATTAAGAAAATAGGAAAAATAAGGGAGAAAGAACAAAATGGAAGACAGATGATAGATCAATAACAGAAAATGTGAAAGGGAGTGTGACAGAAGGGGGGACAGAATGAAAGTAGTAAGTGAGCGAAAATGAGAGAGAAAGAGATATGCTAAGATAAGATTTGTTTCAAAATTTTTAATACCGCGTTAATACGATGTAAATTACGATACGTTTTTAAATTACGATTAACATTAACACGAACAATTTTTTTTCTTTTTTTTCTATTATTTAAATTGTAATTCATTGCTTCTCATTGCTATATGAACAATCGGATAAATTTATCGAACTCTTTTTGTTTTCCAATCTGAACACGCAAAACGGAATACACTTTTAATACCGGAGAAAAAACTAATCTTTATGTTTTGACAATCGTACAATGATATTTTCCCTTATCGCGTTGAAACAAAACAAAAAAGAAACGAATCCGAATATTCGTCTCGAGATATACATCGATCATGAAATTTTTATCGATTTAAAAATATCGATCATCTTTTTATTCGCTATTTAGAATTATATAATAATTTATTTCTTCCGATTTCTATCAATTTTGGTCGAGAAAAAAAAAAAAAGAAAAAGAAAGAAAGAAAAATTACTTATTAAAACTTTAATGTATCATTATTTAAACTTCTGTTTAATGAAACCATGTTGTCTTTCATTTGCCGTGATACATCCGGCAAGTTCTGAGCATATCTTATTAAATTATTGATATGCTCGAACAATACGTAGTAAGATTGATGTATATTTAAATTCCCTTTGTCGATTGACATCTTGGAAATAAGAAGAAGAAAAAAGAGAATTGGTAATATTTGGCGAATATTTGAAAAATCTGAGAAAAGGGAAATTATTATTTTTAAATTTTAGACGGACGAAAGAATAATGATAAGAACAGCCGCAAAAAAAAGCAACACAAATTATGTATATTGGGAAGAAGGGGAGAGGAAGGGATGAAAACAAATACGAAGAAATCTTGCACTTCTTAAAGAGTAAATTGTTGGTTAAATTGTCGAGATTATTCTATTAATAAAGAAAAATTTATATCGATTTAATTCTAATTCAATCTTTCTTCTGTTTTGTAACTTTGCGTACTTCGACTATATCATTTTCAGCGTGAACTTGAAAGAAAATTAAGTTATACGGTCCGAAAAAAAAAAGGAAAAAAAAACAAGACGAATCGTCGTATGATCAAAAGGGATCAAATCTACATGTATAAAAGATAAAATGGAATTTTAACAAATGTAAATCAATTCCGATGTTTTCTTATTTCGTTTTATCCTTTGGTTCAGGATTTTACTCTATTACGAAAAAGTACACCAAGAGCGTATAGACACGTTAGAGACACAGACATTTACAAAATGTAAATAAGTAACGATACGAAGAAGAAAACTATAAAAGAAAAAAATATTAAAAATTCATACCATATAAAAATACTTATTATATATGTGACTTATATAAACATATACGCGTAATATGTGTTATTAAATTACGTATATATGTGTATATATTTATACAAATATACGAATTAATTTTTAACAATAGCGATTAATGATTAACTTTATTGTAAAGAAAAAAAAGAAGGAGAAAAGAAGAGGAAGTAGGAAAAAGTGAGGAAGGAAGTAAATGAGGGGTGTGAAGGAGAAAGAGAAAGTGAAAAATAAGAAGAAACGCGAATTAGGTGGAGAGAAAGGGAAGAGAAAAAAGAGTGATTGACTATTCGAACAACTATTGTCATCGTTTGCCCGATAATTCTCATTACCGTTACCACAATTAAAAATCACCAATTCTTTTCTTTGTCTTCTTATTACTATCATCATGTCGCACCGTTTCCAATCATCTAGTAAATAAATTGTAATAATTGTGTAAAGAGAAAAAAAAAACGTTATAAAGTAATTTAATATGTGCGTGTATATATATATATATATATATATATATATATATATATATATNTATG